AAGCCGCACGTTTGCGATATTTGCGGCAAGAGATACCAAATGCGACGGGAATTTAAAGAGCATATGTTGCGACACGAAAATCGTGGTCCTGGTGTTAAGTGTACAATTTGTCCAAAGGCATTTTATAATAACCGTAACCTTAGAGAGCATATGGCCGTTCATCGGAACGTGCGGGACAAAATATGTGACGTCTGTAATAAAGGATTTACAAGTCGGAAACTACTTCGTCAACACAAACACGTTCATGATAAAAAGAAATTTGTATGCAAAATTTGTGGAAAACGATTTGCGCAGTTCGCTGGATTAAGTGGGCATGTAAAATCGCATGGAATATGTTTATCTGCTACTAAGAGTAATAATTATGAATAAACCTGTAATTCATTTGTACTTTGGTTTAAAGATGGAATACATCCATGACAGCAGTACTTATTTAGTGCTGAAAACGTTAAAGGTGCATGAATTACACTGGCACGTAAAAAACAGTGACGTGTGCTTTTAACCAGACCCACCTACCGACATGTACTTCAACCCGCTGAATCCGAATCTGAAGTCCGTTTGACTCGTAAGCGTCCTGAATTTTGAGTCAATTGAGAAAATTACAATTTTTTTTGCTATTTTTTCCTTTATTTTTTTTTTTGTGTGTCGGCGTAATCGATCGCAAAAACAGGGCCCCAATCGCGGCATTCGTGATCAAATGATTACTCGTTTTGAATCGAATCGAATAAAGTGCCCATGCTATCGAATGCCGTGTCCTCCATAAGAGTTACGTTTGATATCGAATTCCGCGATTCGGACCTAGTTGATTATACTTTTTGTAAACGAGCTAAATTGATTTTTCGCCACATTGGCTCTCTTAATATACAGCCCAATCCTAAATTATATTTCCGCACGAGTTTTTTCTCTTTCCGCAATCCTACTATTCTAAATAAAAGAGTTTTGCAGAATATCTCGCTTTCCGCCTATCCCAAACATCTTCGAAAAGATTCGAACATGAAAAGTAGGTATTTTAAATATAAAGAAAGTGCGGAAACTCTTCGAAATCCGTTAGAATTATTTCATCTCGAATTTTCAAGGGAGTTTGCTGCAAAAAAGTGAGTATTTTGATAAAATGGAAGAAAAAGACATACATGTTTTGTTTAAGGTCGAAAACAACAAATAAAACCCAAATGGGAATCCTTGTCAACATGATGGAGGAGAATCCTGCTATTGCGAGAAGATTTTTTAAAGGAAATAAGGAAGAGCTCACCCGATTTTGGCAGAAGGTGAATGTTGAGCTGAATGCGGCAGTCCCCCCAACAAAACCATTGTGGAATGGAAAAAGGTGATTTCAATGTTTCAAAAAGAGAATCGGTGTATGCATGCAAAATTGTGTCAGTAGTTTGTTAATGTAAAAGGTACTGGAGGCGGCCCACATATGGTGAAAGTACTCTCCCCCCTTTAAGAAGCCATTTTTAAATTGATTGGGATGAAGCAGTCGGTAGAAGGATTTCCCGTAAAGAAGTTTGGCCTGCAAGATAACTTGAATGAGATCTGCAATGAAAACTTCTGCCCAGAAGTAGAGTTACTGAATGTAACCCAAAATGAAACTTCGGATGAATCTATGGTCATCAGCGAAGCAAGTCATGCAGATTATACGACTATAAATGTGTCCCTTGTTTCAGCAGATTCATTTGAATTTGTCAGTGAAGAAGCTTCTGCAGATAATATTGAAGTGCCATCAACTAGCAAGAAGGCATCATCTTAAAAAAAAAAACCTTTCAAAAAAAGAAAGCGCCGAGCTTGCTCTGACTGAGGAAATAAAATTACAAAAATGTATTCGTAATAAAATATTTTTTTTTACATATTATAGGCTAGACAAAATATACGATCTTAAGAAGAAACATTTAAAGGCAGTTGAGCTTATGAAAAAAGAAAAGTTGGAGGAAATCAAAAAAGCAAACGTAATTAAAAGGGAAAAGCTAGAAGAAAAGAAAAGGCACAACTATTTCATTGAAGAAATGAGAAGAAATAAAATTGAACATAAAATAGAGAAAACTTAAAGACTGCTGGAAATACAGGAACTGAAAATTTACAAGGACAATGTTTGCAATGTTAGTCTATTCACTAATAGCATTGCGCAAAGCACACTGAGACTATAAGCTTAGATTTTTTACTGATAAGATTTTTATTCTTTAACTGAATTACCTGCGTTTTGTTTTGTTATTGAATTAAATACTATAAGTACTATACATACATATTAAACTCCTGCGCAATTCAATTTAAAGGGCCTAACAAGACATCCGATCGCCGCGCAAATACTTTCCCTCCTTTACTCTCATCGTTCGGGTCAAGTGTGAGTAAGCATAAACCAGTTTCTGCAGGCGTACGTAAACTACCGATCAATAGCAAGACGCGTAGAGTATTTACTTTGCCTTCCGCAACTACTGCGAGTAAAAGGTATTTGACAGTAGAGTACTCAACTGGTAGAACTTGAGTATTTTCGAAGAAAACATACATTTGTGGCAAGAATGAAAGAAGAATTTTCTGGATCGTGCATTTGTGGTATCTGA